TTAATTTTTTTCCAACCCATTTTGGCGCCCCCTAAGGTCGGCGCCCTCGCCCCCCCGTTACCTCGCTACGCCTCTGGTGTGACAACATTTAGAGGGGAGACACCAAGGCAAGAAATTGCAAAATGTTCAAAATCAAACTGTATTATTAACAGACTATAGATACAGTCTTTACTATTAATTCTGCAGCGATTAAAGCTTATACACATACATGTACGCCTATGTGGCATATATATTTAAATTAAGGCTTATTTAGGCCGACACACACACATACATATATATATATATATATATATATATATATATATATATATATATATATATATATATATATATATATATATATATATATATATATATATATATATATATATATATATATATATATACATATATACACATATATATACATACATCTCAAAAACAAATTATATTAATACTAATAGTTTCGCTGTCTGTCTATCTGACAAGAACGCTCTGTCTGACAAGAACGCTTTGTCTGACAAGAACGCTCTAGAGAAAACACAAGCAAAATAAAAACATGCACAGTAATTCGAAAAACGAAATATGACGTCGCCACATTTAGCGTAGAGTAGAACATAATCTCAAACCAGAGAGTGCACACAGTAAAATGACGTCATTGATTATCGCGTAAACATTGAAAAAAAGGAAATGTTGTCTAATCTAAATGGTTTGCGTGAAGAGTTTCTTGCATACAATTCTTCGGGTAGGGGCGAAGCCCCACCCCCCGCGTAAGAACGTCTGAGCCCCCCCCCCCCCTCCACAACTCAAAAGAAATTTCCTCATCGATACTCTATAATAAAATTACCGCCTAATTAATGTGTCTAATCTAAAAAGTGGTTTTCTTGCAATGGGACGGTAGACATGTTTTTTTTGGGGGGGGGGGGGGGGTGGAGGGGTGGGTGTGGGGGGGGGGGTGTGGGGGGGGGGGGGGGGGTTGGGGTGGTGTGTGGGGGTGGGGGGGGGTGGGGGGGGTGTGTGGTGTGTGGGTTGGTTTCAGTGTTTCTTTCAGACTTTTTCCTCCCCGGAGAGGGGTGGGGGTACTTGAAATTTTCGGGGGCGGGGGTAGAATTTTCTGGGAGGGGGCGGACACTGGAAAAAGTATATAATTATATTTCGTTGAATGGGACGGTAGACATGTTTTTTTTGGGGGGGGGGGGGGTGGGGGGGTGGGGGGGCGGTGTGTGGAGGGGGTGGTGTGTGGGGGTGGGGGTGGGGGTGGTGTGTGGTGGGGGGTGGGGGTGGTGTGTGGGGTTGAGGGGTTGGGTTGGGGGTGGTGTGTGGTGGGGGGTGGGGGTGGGGGTGGTGTGTGGGGGTGGGGTGGGGGTGGTGTGTGTGGGGGGGGGGGGTTGGTTTTAGTTTAGAGAAAAGAGACAGCACTATCAGCCTAGCGCCCGTTGTACCCTTCCTCAACGGGCCATTTTTCTCGTCATTAAAATACCTATGCCTATAATTCACGTGTAACGGGTACCAATGGCTGGTTGTTGCAAATTGAATCGATTTACATATATTTCTTTGTATTAGTTGTTTCCCATTTCAAAATTCAGAGCAACTAGGGGAAGCAAGAAATATTCATGAATTTTTGCACAAGAACAAACGTATTAATACAATATAAACCAAAAGTATTGTTTTATTTATTATAATCAACACAGCTATTTGTGTTCTTGGTAGTATTCTGTCCAGTCTTGATAGTTTTTTGGATTTCTGAATAATTAATTTGCACTAAAATATGTAAAAAAGCATTAAATCAATGGTCGGCTGAATTTTTCAAGAAGGGAAATTACCGCATTATCTGCGTGACAATTAAATAAGCTATTTTCCAATTTTGGATCCCTTGAAATCAAGGGACAAGATTTAAGTGTTTGAGTATGTGAGGAGAGCGTAATGCTTAAGGGTTGGATAATCCTTGAGTTAGGGAGACGCGTTGAAAGTAAATAATTTTAGCGTGGCCGAGAGTTGATTCATTGTTGATTGGTAAATGCGGTTGAGTAATCGTGTGTTGGAAATCGCATGTTGAGAATGTCGGGTAGTAACGTTTTTTTAGAATAGTTTATTGAGATAATATTGTTTAAGTTGTAGAGAGATTAATAAATTTATGTAGTCGAGTTGGTCGTTGAGTATAGTTCGTCGAGATTCGTAAGTTCGATGGTGTCGTGACGGATCATCCTACCTAGGATTGCTCCTAGGTAGGCGTTATTTAGCTGAAAAATCGAAAATAGTTCCAAGCAACATTTCCTAGGATCAAATCTACCATCAACGACATAGACTACAGCTATCTACGATACCTCAACTGACGATTGTTCAAATGCAAGAATCGTCCCAAGAATACAAACAAACGACCAAGTACTGTTTAGTGATGTTATGTACTTTATAGGAAACGTAAGACCAAAGTACATCATTAGTAACAGAAAAGTTGAAGTAACGATTACACGCGGTAGGTAGTTGACAACAGTGCGAAACACCGAATTCAAAACGCAATTAAGCAGATTGATCAATGATCAAGATATTCATTTGGACATCGTACATGGTGATTAAGTCAAACAAAATATTTATTAAAAAATTTATGATTTCATCTCCTCATAAAAGATTGAGAATTAAAAAAAAAATGACTGCTAAAAAATGAAACATATCAACAAAAAGATCTATGTAAAAAAAACTCTTAGCATTCACGTTCACATACATAGAGAAATAGCTGTTAGAGGACGCTCTACTTGAACTTTGTGAGCCCGATCACAAATAAGAAATGTTCAAAGTCTTCGGAGGAAAATCGTCACTGTTATGAAACATCAACATCCGGTTGCTTAGATGCTATACTTGTAACAGTTCAAAAACACAGGTGAACACTACTGCATTATCATGAAATATCAACATCCGAAGACAGAGATTCTACACTTTATTATTCACGTCTTTAGCGACCAACAAGAATATAGTGTGGCTATTTTTTTGCAACAGTAGGATAGAGCAGTAATGTGACCTAAATTCTAGACCGACAAATATATCTCTAACATGATAGGGTTCTCCATTTTAGATTTCATTGAGGATCGCACCGTGTGACACCATTTAGGGGGGTGACACCAAGGCAAAAACTAGCAAAAAAAAAAAAATTAAATACATCCAGCAGAAAAATAGACACATATACACATACTTACAAGTGTATATAGAATATATACACACACACACACACATATATATATATATATATATATATATATATATATATATATATATATATATATATATATATATATAATTTATAGGCCTATATATATTTTTTTTTCTAACGGGGGGAGGGGGGGGGGGGGGTGACACCATCAGGTTCCGAACCGTGTGACGCCCGACCTAGCTACACCACTGTTAGAAGCTGAACTTTAGCGGTTAGGAAGCAGTTTTTGTAAATTGTAATAGAAATCGCGCTATCTTGGCCAAAATCAGTAACTATTTTGGAAATTAATACATTTTAAAAACAAAATTAGGACAGACAGGGGGAGCAAATTAAATAAAAGCTTGTAAAAATAAATAAAATTGCTATTTTGAGGGAGTTGTAGGTTGATGTGTGACGTCATTCAGGGGGGGGGGGGATGGTAGGGTTTTTGTGACGATGTCTGATAGTGAGGAAATGGGTGGGGGGGGGGGGGTAAATCGTAAAAAAAAAGTGTGACGTCTTTCATGAATGACACCCAAAATATTTTCGAAAGTGATTTGTAATTTTTAATTAGAGTAACCTTAACCTTTTTAATTAGAGTAACCTTAACCTAAACTATCCATTGGACATATCAACTGCAATTAATTCTATTCTTCAATCTCAGTTTTGTTTTTTGAAAGCGGTCCCGTGCACGGCTGGGTGCTTAAATATCAGCAAAGAGTGCTCCTGTACGTCCGAGTCGCCGAGCGTGATCCGTTTTACCCCTCGGGCCACCAGCCACAGCTACCGTATCAAGCTGGAGAGCATCCTGGACCTGGGCTATATCGCCCTCAGCAATGTGGTCAGTGCCAGCCCACCTGGTGAGTCTCAGATGTTCGCTTGACTGGGAGAGTGCTTTAGCTCGTCCTTGTGTGTGTGTGTGTGTGTCGCTTGACTAGGGAGTGCTTTAGCTCGTCATTGTGTGTGTGTGTGTCGCTTGACTAGGGAGTGCTTTAGCTCGTCCTTGTGTGTGTGTGTGTGTGTCGCTTGACTAGGGAATGCTTTAGCTCGTCATTGTGTGTGTGTGTGTCGCTCGACTAGGGAGTGCTTTAGCTCGTCATTGTGTGTGTGTGTGTCGCTTGAGTAGGGAGTGCTTTAGCTCGTCAGTGTGTGTGTGTGTGTCGCTCGACTGGGGAGTGCTTTAAATCGTCATTGTGTGTGTGTGTGTCGCTTGACTAGGGAGTGCTTTAGCTCGTCATTGTGTGTGTGTGTGTGTGTGTCGCTTGACTAGGGAGTGCTTTAGCTCGTCATTGTGTGTGTGTGTGTGTGTCGCTTGACTAGGGAATGCTTTAGCTCGTCATTGTGTGTGTGTGTCGCTCGACTAGGGAGTGCTTTAGCTCGTCATTGTGTGTGTGTGTGTGTGTGTCGCTTGACTAGGGAGTTCTTTAGCTCGTCATTGTGTGTGTGTGTGTCGCTTGACTAGGGAGTGCTTTAGCTCGTCATTGTGTGTGTGTGTGTGTGTCGCTTGACTAGGGAATGCTTTAGCTCGTCATTGTGTGTGTGTGTCGCTCGACTAGGGAGTGCTTTAGCTCGTCATTGTGTGTGTGTGTGTGTGTGTCGCTTGACTAGGGAGTTCTTTAGCTCGTCATTGTGTGTGTGTGTGTCGCTTGACTAAGGAGTGCTTTAGCTCGTCCTTGTGTGTGTGTGTGTGTGTCGCTTGACTAGGGAATGCTTTAGCTCGTCATTGTGTGTGTGTGTGTCGCTCGACTAGGGAGTGCTTTAGCTCGTCATTGTGTGTGTGTGTGTCGCTTGAGTAGGGAGTGCTTTAGCTCGTCAGTGTGTGTGTGTGTGTCGCTCGACTGGGGAGTGCTTTAAATCGTCATTGTGTGTGTGTGTGTCGCTTGACTAGGGAGTGCTTTAGCTCGTCATTGTGTGTGTGTGTGTGTGTGTCGCTTGACTAGGGAGTGCTTTAGCTCGTCATTGTGTGTGTGTGTGTGTGTCGCTTGACTAGGGAATGCTTTAGCTCGTCATTGTGTGTGTGTGTCGCTCGACTAGGGAGTGCTTTAGCTCGTCATTGTGTGTGTGTGTGTGTGTGTCGCTTGACTAGGGAGTTCTTTAGCTCGTCATTGTGTGTGTGTGTGTCGCTTGACTAGGGAGTGCTTTAGCTCGTCATTGTGTGTGTGTGTGTGTGTCGCTTGACTAGGGAATGCTTTAGCTCGTCATTGTGTGTGTGTGTCGCTCGACTAGGGAGTGCTTTAGCTCGTCATTGTGTGTGTGTGTGTGTGTGTCGCTTGACTAGGGAGTTCTTTAGCTCGTCATTGTGTGTGTGTGTGTCGCTTGACTAAGGAGTGCTTTAGCTCGTCATTGTGTGTGTGTGTGTCGCTTGACTAGGGAGTGCTTTAGCTCGTCATTGTGTGTGTGTGTGTGTGTGTCGCTTGACTAGGGAGTGCTTTAGCTCGTCATTGTGTGTGTGTGTGTCGCTTGACTAGGGAGTGCTTTAGCTCGTCATTGTGTGTGTGTGTGTGTGTGTGTCGCTTGACTAGGGAGTGCTTTAGCTCGTCATTGTGTGTGTGTGTGTGTGTGTGTGTGTCGCTTGACTAGGGAGTGCTTTAAATCGTCATTGTGTGTGTGTGTCGCTCAACTAGGGAGTGCTTTAAATCGTCATTGTGTGTGTGTGTGTGTCGCTTGACTAGGGAGTGCTTTAGCTCGTCATTGTGTGTGTGTGTGTCGCTTGACTAGGGAGTGCTTTAGCTCGTCATTGTGTGTGTGTGTGTCGCTTGACTAGGGAGTGCTTTAGCTCGTCATTGTGTGTGTGTGTCGCTTGACTAGGGAGTGCTTTAAATCGTCATTGTGTGTGTGTGTCGCTCAACTAGGGAGTGCTTTAAATCGTCATTGTGTGTGTGTGTGTGTCGCTTGACTAGGGAGTGCTTTAGCTCGTCATTGTGTGTGTGTGTGTCGCTTGACTAGGGAGTGCTTTAGCTCGTCATTGTGTGCGTGTGTGTGTGTGTCGCTCGACTGGGAGAGTGCTTTAGCTCGTCATTGTGTGTGTGTGGGTCGCTTGACTAGGGAGTGCTTTAGCTCGTCATTGTGTGTGTGTGTGTGTCGCTCGACTAGGGAGTGCTTTAGCTCGTCATTGTGTGTGTGTGTGTCGCTCGACTAGGGAGTGCTTTAGCTCGTCATTGTGTGTGTGTGTGTCGCTCGACTAGGGAGTGCATTAGCTTCTCATTGTGTGTGTGTGTGTCGCTCGACTAGGGAGTGCTTTAAATCTTCATTGTGTGTGTGTGTGTGTGTGTCGCTTGACTAGGGAGTGCTTTAGCTCGTCATTGTGTGTGTGTGTGTGTCGCTTGACTAGGGAGTGCTTTAGCTCGTCATTGTGTGTGTGTGTGTCGTTCGACTAGGGAGTGCATTAGCTTCTCATTGTGTGTGTGTGTGTGTGTGTGTGTGTCGCTTGACTAGGGAGTGCTTTAGCTCGTCATTGTGTGTGTGTGTCGCTTGACTAGGGAGTGCTTTAGCTCGTCATTGTGTGTGTGTGTGTCGCTCGACTAGGGAGTGCTTTAGCTCGTCATTGTGTGTGTGTGTGTGTGTGTGTCACTTGACTAGGGAGTGCTTTAGCTCGTCATTGTGTGTGTGTGTGTGTGTGTCGCTTGACTAGGGAGTGCTTTAGCTCGTCATTGTGTGTGTGTGTGTCGCTCGACTAGGGAGTGCTTTAGCTCGTCATTGTGTGTGTGTCGCTTGACTAGGGAGTTCTTTAGCTCGTCATTGTGTGTGTGTGTCGCTTGACTAGGGAGTGCTTTAGCTCGTCATTGTGTGTGTGTCGCTTGACTAGGGAGTTCTTTAGCTCGTCATTGTGTGTGTGTCGCTTGACTAGGGAGTGCTTTAGCTCGTCATTGTGTGTGTGTGTGTCGCTCGACTAGGGAGTGCTTTAGCTCGTCATTGTGTGTGTGTGTGTGTCGCTTGACTAGGGAGTGCTTTAGCTCGTCATTGTGTGTGTGTGTGTCGCTCGACTAGGGAGTGCTTTAGCTCGTCATTGTGTGTGTGTGTGTCGCTTGAGTAGGGAGTGCTTTAGCTCGTCAGTGTAAGTGTGTGTCGCTCGACTCGGGAGTGCTTTAAATCGTCATTGTGTGTGTGTGTGTCGCTTGACTAGGGAGTGCTTTAGCTCGTCATTGTGTGTGTGTGTGTGTGTCGCTTGACTAGGGAATGCTTTAGCTCGTCATTGTGTGTGTGTGTCGCTCGACTAGGGAGTGCTTTAGCTCGTCATTGTGTGTGTGTGTGTGTGTGTCGCTTGACTAGGGAGTTCTTTAGCTCGTCATTGTGTGTGTGTGTGTCGCTTGACTAGGGAGTGCTTTAGCTCGTCATTGTGTGTGTGTGTGTGTGTCGCTTGACTAGGGAATGCTTTAGCTCGTCATTGTGTGTGTGTGTCGCTCGACTAGGGAGTGCTTTAGCTCGTCATTGTGTGTGTGTGTGTGTGTGTGTGTCGCTTGACTAGGGAGTTCTTTAGCTCGTCATTGTGTGTGTGTGTGTCGCTTGACTAAGGAGTGCTTTAGCTCGTCATTGTGTGTGTGTGTGTCGCTTGACTAGGGAGTGCTTTAGCTCGTCATTGTGTGTGTGTGTGTGTGTCGCTTGACTAGGGAGTGCTTTAGCTCGTCATTGTGTGTGTGTGTGTCGCTTGACTAGGGAGTGCTTTAGCTCGTCATTGTGTGTGTGTGTGTGTGTGTGTGTGTCGCTTGACTAGGGAGTGCTTTAGCTCGTCATTGTGTGTGTGTGTGTGTGTGTGTGTGTGTCGCTTGACTAGGGAGTGCTTTAAATCGTCATTGTGTGTGTGTGTCGCTCAACTAGGGAGTGCTTTAAATCGTCATTGTGTGTGTGTGTGTGTCGCTTGACTAGGGAGTGCTTTAGCTCGTCATTGTGTGTGTGTGTCGCTTGACTAGGGAGTGCTTTAAATCGTCATTGTGTGTGTGTGTCGCTCAACTAGGGAGTGCTTTAAATCGTCATTGTGTGTGTGTGTGTGTCGCTTGACTAGGGAGTGCTTTAGCTCGTCATTGTGTGTGTGTGTGTCGCTTGACTAGGGAGTGCTTTAGCTCGTCATTGTGTGCGTGTGTGTGTGTGTCGCTCGACTGGGAGAGTGCTTTAGCTCGTCATTGTGTGTGTGTGGGTCGCTTGACTAGGGAGTGCTTTAGCTCGTCATTGTGTGTGTGTGTGTGTCGCTCGACTAGGGAGTGCTTTAGCTCGTCATTGTGTGTGTGTGTGTCGCTCGACTAGGGAGTGCTTTAGCTCGTCATTGTGTGTGTGTGTGTCGCTCGACTAGGGAGTGCTTTAGCTCGTCATTGTGTGTGTGTGTGTCGCTCGACTAGGGAGTGCATTAGCTTCTCATTGTGTGTGTGTGTGTCGCTCGACTAGGGAGTGCTTTAAATCTTCATTGTGTGTGTGTGTGTGTGTGTCGCTTGACTAGGGAGTGCTTTAGCTCGTCATTGTGTGTGTGTGTGTGTGTCGCTTGACTAGGGAGTGCTTTAGCTCGTCATTGTGTGTGTGTGTGTCGTTCGACTAGGGAGTGCATTAGCTTCTCATTGTGTGTGTGTGTGTGTGTGTGTCGCTTGACTAGGGAGTGCTTTAGCTCGTCATTGTGTGTGTGTGTCGCTTGACTAGGGAGTGCTTTAGCTCGTCATTGTGTGTGTGTGTGTCGCTCGACTAGGGAGTGCTTAGCTCGTCATTGTGTGTGTGTGTGTGTGTGTGTGTCACTTGACTAGGGAGTGCTTTAGCTCGTCATTGTGTGTGTGTGTGTGTGTGTGTCGCTTGACTAGGGAGTGCTTTAGCTCGTCATTGTGTGTGTGTGTGTCGCTCGACTAGGGAGTGCTTTAGCTCGTCATTGTGTGTGTGTCGCTTGACTAGGGAGTTCTTTAGCTCGTCATTGTGTGTGTGTGTCGCTTGACTAGGGAGTGCTTTAGCTCGTCATTGTGTGTGTGTCGCTTGACTAGGGAGTTCTTTAGCTCGTCATTGTGTGTGTGTCGCTTGACTAGGGAGTGCTTTAGCTCGTCATTGTGTGTGTGTGTGTCGCTCGACTAGGGAGTGCTTTAGCTCGTCATTGTGTGTGTGTGTGTGTCGCTTGACTAGGGAGTGCTTTAGCTCGTCATTGTGTGTGTGTGTGTCGCTCGACTAGGGAGTGCTTTAGCTCGTCATTGTGTGTGTGTGTGTGTGTCGCTCAACTAGGGAGTGCTTTAGCTCGTCATTGTGTGTGTGTGTGTGTCGCTTGACTAGGGAGTGCTTTAGCTCGTCATTGTGTGTGTGTGTGTCGCTCGACTAGGGAGTGCTTTAGCTCGTCATTGTGTGTGTGTGTGTGTGTCGCTTGACTAGGGAGTGTTTTAGCTCGTCATTGTGTGTGTGTGTCGCTTGACTAGGGAGTGCTTTAGCTCGTCATTGTGTGTGTGTGTGTGTGTCGCTTGACTAGGGAGTGTTTTAGCTCGTCATTGTGTGTGTGTGTCGCTTGACTAGGGAGTGCTATAGCTCGTCATTGTGTGTGTATGTGTATGTGTGTCGCTCGACTAGGGGGTGCTCTAGCTCGTCATTGTGTGTGTGTGTGTGTGTGTCGCTTGACTAGGGAGTGTTTTAGCTCGTCATTGTGTGTGTGTATCTTGACTAGGGAGTGCTTTAGCTCGTCATTGTGTGTGTGTGTGTGTGTGTCGCTTGACTAGGGAGTGTTTTAGCTCGTCATTGTGTGTGTGTGTGTGTCGCTCGACTGGGAGAGTGCTTTAGCTCGTCATTGTGTGTGTGTGGGGGGGGGGGGAGGGGGTAGAAGAGGAGAATGTGGGCTTGACGCGACAGATGCTATTGTGCTGTTATTATGTTTATTTTGATTGGCGCATTGTTGATAGTAAATGTAGTTTTAAGATGAGATACATTTTTTGTTTTCGGTCCATCATTAGGGGTCATCCATAAATGACGTCACGCTTTTTTAAACGGTTTTTACCTCCCCCCTCCCCTCCGTCATATGTCGTCACAAAAAGCCAGACCCCCCCCCCTAAAATGACGTCACACCTTAATCTACAACCCCCCCTCCCTCAACATAGCAGTTGAATTTTTAAAAACATCCATATTTTTCCAAAATTATGTCTAAACTATTACAATTTATTAAAACAGTTATCTAAAACGCGAAAAAACGTCTAAAATTCGTTTTCTAACATTGCTTTTTTATAATGCAAAAATGTGACGTCGCAACATCTGAACCCCCCCCCCCCCCCCCCCCCATCCCCCTCATCACACATCGTCACAAAATTACGGACCACCCCTCCTTCCTACGAGTGTGACTTCATTTATTGATGACCCCTTATCGAGTCTGTTATGAGGTATATATATTAGGCCTTTATATTAGATATATGATAGAATAATCGGAAATGTTATAAGTCTGTTATAAGGTATATATTTTTATATATTAACAAAGTTTAACGCACAAAATGTATTTATTGACAAAGTAGAGTGATTTTTGTCAGCACCATATCGTTTGTTACTGGGGATGGATTAGAGTAGGCCTATTCCAGTAACCTGGGGAAAAATCCGCCATCTTTGACTCTACATTCCCATTTTTTAAAACAAATTTTCTTAAATGTTTCAGAGGACTTCAATGCAAACGATGTCGATTCTATCGATTCTAAGATCGATTTTTCAAGTAATGGAAATGTGCACATACAAGCAGGTATTAACTTACATATACTGGTACATACAAGCAGGTACATATATACATATAGGGCCTATATATACATATAGGGCCTATATATATATATATATATATATATATATATATATATATATATATATATATATATATATATATATATATATATATATATATATATAAATATATAAATATATAAATAAATAAATAAATATATATATATATATATATATATATATATATATATATATATATATATATATATATATATATATATATATATATACATAAACATACATACACACTCCACTTACTATATATATATATATATATATATATATATATATATATATATATATCATTTAGACATTGATATTAGTACATGGTAATTGAACTCTTATTTTACAAGATCAGTCGCCGTCTGGATCGCTCTCTGTGTTATATCCGTCATGGTCCAGCAAGTCGTGTTTCCCGCCTTTTTATAGCAGACTTCAACTGCCGGAAGTGAATCGTCCAGCATGTCAAATAAAGGGTATCAGCAGACAATTTATGTCAATACTTCGTCCAAGTCAAGTCAATTCGTCCAAGTCAGGTCAATTCGTCCAAGTCAAGTCAATTCGTCCAAGTCAAGTCAATTCGTCCAAGTCAAGTCAATTCGTCCAAGTCAGGTCAATTCGTCCAAGTCAAGTCAATTCGTCCAAGTCAAGTCAATTCGTCCAAGTCAGGTCAATTCGTCCAAGTCAAGTCAATTCGTCCAAGTCAAGTCAATTCTTCCAAGTCAAGTCAATTCGACCAAGTCAAGCGATAGAATAGAATTCGTATGAGTTCAGTTGAATTATAAGCTGTATATTACTGGTAGTATACTGTTGACTTGAAATATACGCTATATTGTCTGGGCAGTATATTGTTAGTTTGAATTATAAGCTGTATATTACTGGTAGTATACTGTTGACTTGAAATATACGCTATATTGTCTGGGCAGTATATTGTTAGCTTGAATTATAAGCTGTATATTACTGGTAGTATACTGTTGACTTGAAATATACGCTATATTACTAGTAGTATACTGTTGACTTGAAATATACGCTATATTACTGGTAGTATACTGTTGACTTGAAATATACGCTATATTGTCTGGGCAGTATATTTTTAGCTTGAATTATAAGCTGTATATTACTGGTAGTATACTGTTGACTTGAAATATACGCTATATTGTCTGGACAGTATATTGTTAGCTTGAATTATAAGCTATATTGTCTGGGCAGTATATTGTTAGCTTGAATTATAAGATATATTGTCTGGACTGTAGATTGTTGACTCAAAATGTTTGAGATAGTTATTTTTTCTTATCATGAAAATGTCAAGGGGGATAAATCGCTACCCTCCAATTTGCTAGGGATAAAATTTTTATTGAATGTAACTGTGTGCTTGTGTGTGTGTATGTATGTGTGTGCGTGAGTGTATGATGTTATTATGATTCCAAGCACTTATACTTAGTTATGCTTTCCAAATTCCATGCAATTATGGTCTGTAACTTAAATTCAAATTTCGCGACAAAACCAATTTTTTTTTCGTTCGTTTAAAACATTTAAAAAAAAAAAATCGAATTTTAAACTCATTAAGGTTATTTGATCTAAGTCTTACATTTCAATTATTTTTAAACTTTCTTTTAAATGTTAAGTAAACACGTTTTTTTTTAAAGAGCATCATATAGTTTAACGTCATAACCCCTTGACCCGTGAAGCCATTTGGTATGAGATTGTTACGAAACAAAATACGTTACTGTTTTGAATGTGCGTACGTATTCTTTGACTGATATAAATACAAATTAAAATAAAAAAACAACAAAAACACAATAGTTCCATTTTTTTTTCACCGTCTGTCCTAAATGAAGATTTTAGTTTATGTTTTCACACATGTTAACTTGTTTTTCGAAACGTGTGTGTGTGTGTGTGTGTGTGTGTGTGTGTGGAGTGTAGTGTGGGTTAGATGTGTTCTTTTCGCTAATTTAGCGATCATACTCCTAGTTAGGATCGTAATTTTTAAAAATCTGAGCTGAACAAGAATTGATGGCTTTTTTAAAGAAATGTATCGTTGCATCCTTGCTGGGGATAGGCAGCAGAGATAGATGACTTGAGTCATATACTTGTGAGAGATGACTTGAGTCATATACGTGTGAGAGATGACTTTAGTCATATACGTGTGAGAGATGACTTTAGTCATATACGTGTGAGAGATGACTTTAGTCATATACATGTGAGAGATGACTTCAGTCATATACATGTGAGAGATGACTTCAGTGACCAAACTTAATACACAGTCAAGGTTATCACAGAACAGATAATCACGCACTAAAGAAGTATAACCTTTACATTTCACCATTCATTCAGCATCTTATAAAATGAAATCTGTTGCTAATAAAAACAAGCATGAGACATCTTTTGTCTTGTTTATTCAGGTTATTGTTTCATGGGCTGGGAATCGGATTAGCCTGAGTCGAGTAGTGCTGTTTGTTGGAGGAGGTGAGGGTGGGGGTCATGTGTGGGGTGGGGGAGAGCCGTGTGTGGGGTGGGGGAGAGTCCCGTGTAGGTGGGACAGGGTCCAGTGTGGGGTGGGGGATAGTCCCGTGTGGGGTGGGGGAGAGTCCCGTGTGGGGTGGGGGAGAGTCCCGTGTGGGGTGGGGGAGAGTCCTGTGTGCTGTGGGGGAGAGTCCCGTGTGGGGGGGGGGGGGGAAGAGTCCTGTGTGGGGGGGGGGGGGAGAGTCCCGTGTGGGGTGGGGGAGAGTCCCGTGTGGGGTGGGGGAGAGTCCCGTGTGGTGTGGGGGAGAGTCCCGTGTGGGGTGGGGGAGAGTCCCGTGTGGGGTGGGGGAGAGTCCCGTGTGGGGTGGGGGAGAGTCCCGTGTGGGGTGGGGGAGAGTCCCGTGTGGGGTGGGGGAGAGTCCCGTGTGGGGTGGGGGAGAGTCCCGTGTGGGGTGGGGGAGAGTCCCGTGTGGGGTGGGGGAGAGTCCCGTGTGGGGTGGGGGAGAGTCCCGTGTGGGGTGGGGGAGAGTCCCGTGTGGGGTGGGGGAGCAGAGAAATCACTGAACAATTTGTCCTCAGAATTCTGTAATCAGCTGGTCGCACCTAACCAAGATGGCGGATAAACTTCCTATCAAGATGGCGGCGGTTCCTGCGAAGTATATGCATTGTTAGAATTAAGTGACGTCACGGCGTGATGTCAGGTAGACCTGATGTCAGGGTACATATGACATGAGGTAGAAGTGACGTCAGGATAGACTGGACGTCAGGTAAACATGACGTCATGTAGACATAACGTCAGGTAGACATGACGTCAGGTAGACATGACGTCACATGGACATGACGTCAGGTAGACAGGTTACCTGCACGAGTCTGCCAGCTTCTGTTCATTGACTGCTCAAGTCGTCGCTTGGTAACGCTGACGTCAACAGTAAAGTTCTCTGTCCATATAAGACGGAAACAATGACGTCAACAGTAAAGTTCTCTGTCCATATAAGACGGAAACAATGACGTCAACAGTAAAGTTCTCTGTCCATATAAGACGGAAACAATGACGTCAACAGTAAAGTTCTCTGTCGATATAAGACGGAAACAGTGACGTCAACAGTAAAATTCTCTGTCGATATAAGACGGAAACAGTGGCGTCAACAGTAAAGTTCTCTGTCGATATAAGACGGAAACAGTGGCGTCAACAGTAAAGTTCTCTGTCGATATAAGACGGAAACAGTGACGTCAACAGTAAAGTTCTCTGTCGATATAAGATGGAAACAGTGACGTCAACAGTAAAGTTCTCTGTCGATATAAGACGGAAACAGTGACGTCAACAGTAAAGTTCTCTGTCGATATAAGACGGAAACAGTGACGTCAACAGTAAAATTCTCTGTCGATATAAGACGGAAACAGTGACGTCAACAGTAGAGTTCTCTGTCGATATAAGACGGAAACAGTGACGTCAACAGTAAAATTCTCTGTCGATATAAGACGGAAACAGTGGCGTCAACAGTAAAGTTCTCTGTCGATATAAGACGGAAACAGTGGCGTCAACAGTAAAGTTCTCTGTCGATATAAGACGGAAACAGTGGCGTCAACAGTAAAGTTCTCTGTCGATATAAGATGGAAACAGTGGCGTCAACAGTAAAGTTCTCTGTCGATATAAGACGGAAACAGTGGCGTCAACAGTAAAGTTCTCTGTCGATATAAGATGGAAACAGTGGCGTCAACAGTAAAGTTCTCTGTCGATATAAGACGGAAACAGTGGCGTCAACAGTAAAGTTCTCTGTCGATATAAGATGGAAACAGTGGCGTCAACAGTAAAGTTCTCTGTCGATATAAGACGCAAACAGTGGCGTCAACAGTAAAGTTCTCTGTCGATATAAGATGGAAACAGTGACGTCAACAGTAAAGTTCTCTGTCGATATATATATATATATATATAAATATATATATATATATATATATATATATATATATATATATATATATATATATATATATATATATATAAAGAATTCAGTTAGTGCAAGGAACAGAAGAGAATCACCAGACTTCTCTGAAGAGTCAACAACATTGCTCCTGGAGACAATCTCCATGTCATCTTTAGCTGTCGCGTCGACCAATTTATATTCGGCCAATCGGTACTTCGCGTTCAGTTTAGTCGGCAGAAACCGGATGACGCTGGGGTTTCCCTTGGCGCATGAGCAGTGAGCATCCGGCAAACATCCGTCGTCAAGACAAGGATTCAACTCTAGGTAGCAGAACTGAAAAAAAATTTGAAGAATAATGATAAACAAGTGAGTTGTAGGTTTTAATTTTAACTCAGTAAATAGTTTTTTGTGGGTGGGCTTTTTTCTTTCAGGAAATTTGATGAAATTAATTTTTTTTTGGTATAGAGCTAAGATATTATACGCCCCCCCCCCCCACCCCACCACGCGCACGCACGCACGCACACACACATACACACACACACACACGCACGCACGCACACACCCGCACACACATACGCACGAGCGTTCTGAACTAAGAAAATGATCGTGAATATAAATGGTCCACCCCACCCCACCCCACCACACGCACAAGCACACACACACACACACACACACACACACACACACACACACACACACACACACACACACACACACACACGCACGAGCGTTCTGAACTAAGAAAATGATCGTGAATATAGTAATAGTAAAGCTCCTCTTTAGAACCTAGCGATCTGTGGGCAGATGAAGTACATATGTTTCTTGGTCACGGCATATGAAGGGATGGTGTGGTCAGCACTATGCCCAGCCCTCCTTTACTTTCCCCTACGTAAGTCAGGTATCCTTCATAGCTGGGTGGACTCAGTGACATCCTACAGCCACCAGTCCGAACCAAGATCCGAACTCGAAATCTTCGGTCCAGCTATCGAATTCTCTACCATTTGACCACCCCGTCAAAAAAAAGTTTGTCAATTTTTTTCTCTTAAAATATTTAAAAGTTATCCATTTTTCTAAAAGGCTAACTAATCTTAAATAATGAGAACTAATCACAACGTGTAACTAAGTTTACTAAAACATAATAGCTAATCAATGGAAACTAAAAAGGTGGACCTACATTCATACAGGACCTATTGTGTGTACATTGTAACTCTACTAAAAGGTGGACCTACATTCATCCATGACCTATTATGTGAACATTGTAACTCTACTAAAAGGTGGACCTATATTCATCCATGACCTATTGCGTGAACATTGTAACTCTACTAAAAGGTGGACCTACATTCATCCATGACCTATTATGTGAACATTGTAACTCTACTAAAAGGTGGACCTACATTCATCCATGACCTATTGTGTGAACACTCCGAGTCTGTAGAGCAGTACTCAAGTCTGATAGACGAGTGGGTAGCCCAGTCGGGATCCGAACACTCTTGGGCTGTCATGGCCGAGTGCCATACCTCTCCTGTCATTTCGCCAGTGTACCGACAGCCTCTGGGGTCGCAGCTTTTCTCATAACCCCCCAGGTTCATCCTGTAGGTAACGGAGGCCGCATCGACCAAGGCTTGGAATATTCGAGAAAAAAAAAGAGACACTACATTTTTTATTTTTTAAACAGTAATAGAGAGAGAGAGAGAGAGAGAGAGAGAGAGAGAGAGAGAGAGAGAGAGAGAGAGAGAGAGAGGAGAGAGAGAGAGAGAGAGCATGGTTTTATGTAATTTTGTATTAAAATATTTAAAAAAACCTTTCGGAATATAAGGCAACTGAATTTTTTTGAGATAAATCTAATTTATAAATAAATCTAGCTAATTTATTTAAGGGGAAATAACCGAGCAAGGTTGATTTATTTAATAATATTATTTGAGTTGTTTCCCCTTGCATACACAAATTAAAAACGAAACGACAAATATTGGCCAAAATTGTCTGACTTTATTTAAGAACGAGTCAATATATATATATATATATATATATATATATATATATATATATATATATATATATATATATATATATATATATATATATAGTGTGAAAAACAGTCAGTACTGTGCTTTGTTGATGTCTCAAAATCGCACGACGCTCACAAACTTACCTGGCATGTTTGATAGCAAGTATAAATATAACATGAGGACGAACGTCGTGTCGGTCTGTTTGATTACTGACATCCTACACTGGCACTTGTGGGTACCACTGTACTGTTTACCACCTTCGTGTATTCGTGAATCAGGGACCGGCAAAAACCACTGACGCACTAATGTATAGTAGGGCTCAGGCTCTTGATTAGTTCTTTGGTAATGGATATGGATTAGATTGCGCTTGTTGTTAGGTCAGGGTTGAGTTATGGCACCTGACGGATTGATTGTAATGTGAGTAAGGGACCCGATCATCATTGTCAGTGGCGTTGCCAGGATCGTCTCAGGAGGGGGGGGGTCCAATTTTTACCCGGGGACAAACTTTCGATTTGCACCCTCCCCCCCACCCTCAAACTTTCGATTTGCACCCCCCCCTCAAACTTTCGATTTGCCCCCCCCCCTCATACTTTATATATATTCCGAGGGGTCTATGGGGGGGGGTTATGACCCCCCCCCTACCCCCCCCCCCCCCCCCTGCATACGCCACTGATCATTGTCTTACAACAACGAAAAATATGGTTTTTTTTACATTTCGTTTTCTAAGTAGCTGTACTTTTTAATTAATATTAAAATTGAAGTTGGATCTAGATCTAGATTCTAATCTAGATCTGTAAAAATTAAAAAAATAAAGTATTTAAATAATAGATTCTAGATCTAGTCTAATATTAAATTAATAATTATTGTAATTACAGTTTTAGAATATATGAATCTTGTCCAAGCGTTTAAAACATTATAATTACCTCTGTATGAGAAGGAAATATATTTAAAAGAAAAAGTAAACCTAGTTCAGTTGATGTTTGCCTTGGAGTAAATCCCATCCAGCGATTGAGACAGACGAATGGTTTATTTTCGTACAAATTGTGTAAACATAAAGAACTTGCGCATATCTGTGGCGGTGAGTTTTTGGTGTGAGTATGGGGAATTTCCGTTAGATGTGAAGGGAAATTCCCGCTAGATGTGAAGGGAGCTTGTTCAATTTTTCATGTGTATAGTAATATCGTAGACCAGGGGTCGGCAACCTTTTGAGCCGAAAGAGCCACATTTACAATTTACAACATTACCCGGTTTTTAAAGAGCCACTAACATTTTTTTATGTCAATAGTATATTTGTTTAGGAGTATATATATATATATATATATATATATATATATATATATATATATATATATATATATATATATATATTTATATTTATATTTATATATAATTCTAAACAAATATCATACTATATATATAATTTAAAATAAATAGCTTTGAATATATGAAATAATCTCATTTGAATTTGTTTTGAGAGGATCTACTATGTAAGTCAGAGTACTTGCATTTGTTTTGAACAGCTCATATCTCTTAGTGAAAACACCCTTCATTTTGTTTATATTCATGCTGAAGTGATTGAATACTAGCATTGGTTTCATAACGATATTTTTTTTCAGATTTTTCATAATTAAGTAATTTACCGCTAACCATGTATTCAACAAAAAGTATTCTTTTTTTCGAACCAAACTACTTCTTCAAGCAAGACATAGACTGGGTTTTCATTTCAGTTTTACACTTAGCTCGTTTAGTTTATTGCGATATCCACTATGGAGTTGAATGTTTCAATTCGGAATGGACAATGTAATAGGAAGTACATTGAGATAGGGAGTAACTAAATATTCTAATAGAATAGTGAATGTTTATTGTTTATATCTTATGTTATATCGTTTATTACCGAATGTTGCAGACTAATATTTTTATGAGTTTTGAAAATAAATTAATTATTAAAATTTGTGCATGGAGCTGAAGAGCCGCAACTGGACACTAAAAGAGCCGCATGCGGCTCGCGAGCCGCAGGTTGCCGACCCCTGTCGTAGACCATTATCACAAGTCGCGTAGCTAGGATTTTGGGCTCTTATACAAAAATTATCAATTTGATTGGACTACAACGATTTTCCTATAAGGTACACAAATACATGATTTTACCGCAGGTGTTTCGATTATAGGTGGTTGGCACACACGTTCTATTTTTTTTTTACTGATTTAAGTTTTTAATTTATTTTTGCAGCATTTAATCGTGTGTACAAAAAATTAAAGATTTTGACAGAACTACAACAAATATATATTTTTTAATTCAATAAAAAGGATAATATATCTTGCCTAACCTCCCTTTGACCATATTATTAGAGAATCATCCTTTAAAAAGGATTTTACCTCTGTTTTATTTAATAAATTTTTATTTCCATAGTGTAATTAATTTGACTTATCATCCGCCGTATTTTGTTATGAAATTAAAATGATACATTATTTACTTTTACTGACAGCGGGGCTAATGGGAACTTTTACCAAAGTTTTTAAAGTTATTAAATGTATTTTTTTAAATTGCACTAAGGGAGGCAATTTATATATATATATATATATATATATATATATATATATATATATATATATATATATATATATATATATATATATATATATATATATATATATATATATATATATATATATATATATACACACACACATATTATAAGACTATATATATATATAGTCTTATAATATGTATATATATATATATATATATATATATATATATATATATATATATATATATATATATATATATATATATATATATATATATATATATATATATATATATATATATATATATATATATATATATATATATATATATATATACTCACACATATACACACATATTTAATATATATATATATATATATATATATATATATATATATATATATATATATACAACAGATGTGGTTTTAAGACACTCAGCAATTGGAAATTGTAAACGTTGCAAGTGATTTGATCAAGGAGTCGCTGATAGCTGTATCTTAACCCCAAATCAGTTTTGGGAGACAATTTATTTGTGTGTGTCTGGGGGGGGGGTCGTTCTAACCCACTGACACACCTCTGCCTCAGTCACTGTAGACTGAAGTAGACACAAACCTAGTGTAGGAACCATTTGTCAATGAATAACTTAATTCTAGGGACTGCGATAAATCTAACCCAAACAATAAATCTCATAGGTCAAGTCGCTTATATAAATAAAATAAGAGGCATGGCGACTCGACTCTTGTACGCCAACCTGACCTCTGTCTATATCCTGACCTCTGTCCATATCCTGACCTCTGTCCATATCCTGACCTCTGTCCATATCCTGACCTCTGTCCATATCCTGACCTCTGTCCATATCCTGACCTCTGTCTATACCCTGACCTCTGTCCATATCCTGACCTCTGTACATATCGTGACCTCTGTCCATATCCTGACCTCTGTCCATATCCTGACCTCTGTCCATATCCTGACCTCTGTCCATATCCTGACCTCTGTCTATACCCTGACCTCTGTCCATATCCTGACCTCTGTACATATCGTGACCTCTGTCCATATCCTGACCTCTGTCCATATCCTGACCTCTGTCCATATCCTGACCTCTGTCCATATCCTGACCTTTGTCCATATTCTGACCTCTGTCCATATCCTGACCTCCCATATCCTGACCTCCCATATCCTGACCTCCCATATCCTGACCTCTCTCCATATCCTGACCTCTGTCCATATCCTGACTGCTGTCCATATATATAAATAAAAAGCAATGTTTTTTTTTTTTTTGCATGTCTGTCTTTTATGCATTACTACTACACCTTTCGTCCGATGGCCACGAAACTTTGGGAAGTTGTTCAGAATACTACTACGATTTCGTACTGGCGGCGCCCCGGCAGGTGCAATCTGGCGCCAGGTGTTATCCCGTGAGCGCTATGGCGACTTCGTTCGTTTTAAACTGTGCGATAGACTATGAATAAGATGGGGCGTTTGGTCGTACTCTGAATCGGGCGAGTTTGCCGGCGCCCGACACGGTGCAATTTGGCGCCCAGGGCTAACCCGGTAGCGATATAGCGCGTAAGTTCGTTTTAAAGAGTTTGATAGAATATGGACAAGAAGAAGTATTATAGTAGTTCACAATACATTAACAGGTGCGTCCGAACTCCGAACACGCCCCGGGTGAGTTATCCTGAGACTTTGTTTTATTAATTCATCGTTGTCCCCTGAATTAGGAGATCCAAAATTTCCATTTTTGCAATGATTATGCTTCGTTAAAGGCATGCTGTGATCTCAAGTGTTTGAAACCTTTTTAAAATAAAGCTAAAGCTCTTAGCTTTAGGTTAAAGCAGGATTTTAAAACGTGGCTTGAAATATTATTATTTTTACACAATTTATATAATGAAAGTAGATTTATCTGTATGTTAACATACAATCAGATTTGTCTTGATTACCTTTTTTTCATTAGATTGCTGTTGATTTTTGTTGGCCTTAGCAATTGAATAAATTGCCTCCCTTAGTGCAATTTAAAAAAATACATTTAATAACTTTAAAAACTTTGGTAAAAGTTCCCATTAGCCCCGCTGTCAGTAAAAGTAAATAATGTATCATTTTAATTTCATAACAAAATACGGCGGATGATAAGTCAAATTAATTACACTATGGAAATAAAAATTTATTAAATAAAACAGAGGTAAAATCCTTTTTAAAGGATGATTCTCTAATAATATGGTCAAAGGGAGGTTAGGCAAGATATATTATCTAAGTGTTAGTGCTTTAGAGTATACTCCCTTGATGAAGTATTTGGTAGCACAACAAACAGAATTATAATATAATTTATATTTATATTATAGAATTGCTGGCAAGTAAAACAGGAAGAAGCAATGTACTATGGGAATACTCGGGACCTTTACAGAATAATTTATAAAATGTCTGGAAAGCCAAACAGGTAGTGAAGGCCAAAGATGTAAAAGGACAGAAGAAGAGATTTGCACAATGTTTCTTTCAGACTTTTGTCTTCAAGATATATCACCAGCAGCAAGAGACTGTCTTAAGACTGTAACCCACTCTTCAAAGGAAGAGATACACGAAGCCATAAAACAGCAGTGTTTCTTCCAGACTTTTTTCTCCGGGGGGGGGGGGGGCGGTAAACTTTCTTCGGGGGGGGGGGGGGGGGGGGGGGCGGACACTGTTAAAAGTATATATTTTCTATATAAATTATATAAATTTCATTTCGTTCGGGGGGGGGGGGGGGGCGGTAAAATTTTTTCGGGGGGCGAAGAGATGCCTGGAAGAAACTCTGTAAAACAGATGAAAAAAAGGGGAAGGTTCCAGGAATAACTGGTATACCGTAAGAAGCACTGACAACTGATATTGAAACTAGCACCGCAATACTACACACACTCTTTACTATTTACAAATTACACGCTACCAAATAAAGAACCGTATTGAGGCCAGCCATTCAGTTTAAGAACATTTAGTCATTCAAAAAGCAGCATAAAGTCTGTCATTCAACTATTTCGAAGAACCGCATTTGTTTTCGGGACCACGGTTTACGGGCATTTGCGGTCAGCTGTAGGGGATTCTATCAGTACCTACACGAAGGCTGTTCACAACAAGTAATACCTTATATAGGCCTACGTGGGGATTTTTTTTATACCAGTGTCCGATAATAACATCTTCTTAAAAAAAGGGATGTCAAGTTACTTGGTAGTTGACTAAAATACGGTGACCCGTCAAAAGAGCGCACGACAAAAGAGCGCCGACATAAGAGCGCAGACAAAAGAGCGCCGACACAAGAGCGCAGACAAAAGAGCGCCGACATACCAGCGCCGACATAAGAGCGCACTAATTTGCCGACAAAAGAGCGCCGACATACCATATTCAATAAATAGGAACAAGAAAATTAACTCAGATCAGAAGGCATTGTTTGATGTTAACTCTTTATTGTTTCATTAAAAAAATAATTGTTCTGTTTATTTAACCAAAAAAAACTGGTATTGACGATTGATATTATCTATTGTTACGAACATCATCATTCTGTAAACGTCAGTCGGTCCGGAATCCCACTTGTTCTCGTTTGAAGAGGTTTAGGAATTGTTATCTTTGAAACGTTCTGCAGATTTGGTTATGGTAGCTGCTTCGTTTTCTCTGTCTTTCTATTGCACGTTGTGAAGCGACGTATGCCGGCAAATGAGGTGCTACTTCCATCAAAATTCCTGCTCTGGCTTGTTGTATAATCTGCCTTGTTTTTCCAACCCTTGACAGAACATCATCGTTCAACATTTTCATCCGTCCTCGGCAGCCATCTTTCTTGCAGCATCTCCGTGTCGTACTTCCATCAGCATTTGATCTGTCCTTTCGATATCTGTAGCCTTCGACCAATATCTTCTCCACGTTACTTGGGTTAGAAATATTTTCAAATTGCATTCATAACATATTAACCATAATATATAAATAAACACATGTCGTTTTATCGTACTGCCGATTGTTTAATTAAAACAAGTGTTAACCATGTCATATTCGTTTAGCGTACAACATGTGTTTTTTTAATTGATTGCGCTTTTATGTCGGCGCTCTTTTGTCTGTGCTCTTATGTCGGCGCTCTTTTGTCGTGCGCTCTTTTGACGGGGTGCCCTAAAATACACACATGGCTTGCTAATGTCAATGCCAACCCTATCCCTAACCCTTATCCCAATCCTAGTCCTCCTATACGACTAAACCTAATTTCTAACCATAAAAATTATCCAGATTACAATACTACTAATAACCTAACATACCTATTTTTGGAAGAGTCTATTATCGGACATCGGTATTTTCAATAATGCCAAGGTTTTTTATGCAGTTCTTTACATACATACTTTTAAAAATAAAAACTGTCTTTTTAATGTTCGCCACACTGAACATCAATGAACTATAGCTTTTGTTCAAAGATAGGTCTGTATCAAAGTTTATCCCTTATCTACTTGGAGCTTTTCGATGGACGATCCCAAAATTCCGTGTTGCCGGAAGTTCTGTTTTGGTGTTGATTCCAGCAGCGATTTATCAAGACAACATTTCGGACAAAACACAGAACATCACCACTATCCATATAGCCATGTTGACAGTGAAAGTAGCCGCAAAACCAACGGCTCTTTTCAAATAGTTGATCTTGTAGCCGAAATAAAACGCAATGCGTCCGAAGACGAAGAACGCTACGAGAATTGGAATGTTTTTCATTTGCGGTTCTGTTAAGTAGGTCGCCAGGATCATCTGACCTACAAAGCTGACGATGAACTGCTCCACCGTATTGGTCAAGTACCTGACACTCACGGCCACGTGGTGTTCGCCTCGGCCGTTGATTGGATCAATCGCGATGGTGTGAAAGCGCGTGTGTGCGACGTCAATTATCCCACCAATCAGCGTGAGGCAGGAAAAGCTTTGTAGGCGGAGCGTGTAGACTAGCCTGTCAATCATCCCTGGTAGGCGTGGTATGGGGATGGGGATGGCGAAGTACAGTACAAAGTAGGTCAGGAGCAGACCTAGAACTGTCTTCAGGCTATAATTAGAAATGACCTGTCTTTCGATTGGCTGGGATCTAGGCATCTTTTCGGTTACTTTTTTCTTCACGTTGTGAAACTTGTTCTTAGTCCAACAAGCCCCAAACGGTGATCCTACTCACACACTTTCTGAAATAAAAAACAAAACAAAAGATTATTATAAGTCAGCGCTAAAAAAAAACTGGGCATAGTGCTGACCACTGACCACAATATCCTTCATTGACCTTCATATGCCGAGGTTACAGAAACAAGTAAACTCTAATTCACTTGCCACATAGCGCATAACAAGTTAACATGTAATTCTTAATTGTGTTGGAAGGAATCCCTTCGATCTCTAGAATAAAGAACGAAGTAGAAGAAGAAGAAAGACTTTCCACATGGACTGTCAGGTTCGAAAGGGAAACTTTCCTTTCGCTGGATGGGTGGGGGTTGGGGACGGATACTGGTTAAAGTAATTTTTTTTTTCTGTATAGGCCTACATTATACATTTTATCGAATTCGTCCAAGGGAGGGGGTGCATTGTTTCTTCCAGTATTTTTCTCCGGGGGGGGGGGGGGGGCTTGAAATTTTCGGGGGGCGGACTAAAATTTCCGGGGTGGGGGACGGGGCGGACATAGTTAAAAGTATATATTTTTTATATACATTTCATTTCGTTCGCGCCCCCCCCCCCCCCCGAAAGGATGCCTGGAAGAAACTCTGTTGATGTCTTAGCGCAAACTTACCTTTAAAAAAAAAAAATCTCAAGGATGCTTCAAGTATTTTAGCTTTGATATTCTTTAATGTACCTATATCCAAAATTAATTTCTTGCTTGTTATAGCCCCCCCCCCCCCTCTCTATCTCACCTTGATAGTTCTTTAAATCTCACACCCTGCTGTTTTACTGCTTAAAACCCCGCAACTTGTCCTCTATTTGTTGACATATCCTGGCAGGTTATTGCACTGCAACACATATAACAAAACCTCCGTTAATTTTTAATTATCGCAATTTCATATAGCTGCTATAGCCTAACAGTAGAGTCGAAAGAAACGGTTATGTCTCATCTAACTACCATCACTGCCATTGAGTCTCACCATCTGCTACCACTTAACTAGTGTCTCACCTAACTTTCTAGTGTGACACTGACAGTCTCTCACCCAACTATTTAGTGTGACACTGATAGTGTCACCTGTCTATTTTGACAGTGTCTCACCTGTCTACTTTGACAGTGTCTCACCCAACTACCTACTTTGACAGTGTCTCGCCTGTCTAGTGTGACACTGACAGTGTTTCACCTTACGATCATCACCGACTCATCGAGTGTACCATAACCTGTTTAAAACGCTACCAATTATGTTACTTAGCCTATTCAGACTGCTCTCCGATCAGCTACTGATCGATATCGATCACTAGATCAAACTTTCTTATTTCGGTTACGGCCTGATAACTTGCACTGGAGTGGTAACACTTGAAACCAAAAGTGGAATGTAAAAAAATATTCAATACTAGTTGGGGATCATCCGGCAAGATCCTTAATACGAGGGGGGGGGGGGGGGGGGGTTCAACAAAATCCTTAATACAAGGAGGGGGGTTCAACAAGATCCTTAATACAAGGAGGGGGTTCACACGATCCTTAATACAAGGAGGGGGGTCAGGCAACTGAGGCAAGATGTATTCTACAATGCAAGAGTCAGGCAAGGTCTATAATGATAGTAATTAGGGTCTTAAAAAAAGGAAAGTGACGCAGATGAGCAGAGTTTACTCCAGGCATCTCTTGGAACCCCCCTCCCCCAGAAGAAAGTCTAACGAAATGCAATTTATATAGAAAACATATACTTATACCAGTGTCCGCCCCCCCCCCCCCCCCTCCCCCGAAATATCAAGTGGCGCCCCCCCCCCCCCCCCCCGGAGAAAAAAAGTCTGGAAGAAACACTACACATAAGACATTCAAAGGGACAAATCGAGTAGTCCTTATCCCTGGCCATGTGAAGGGATCATGTGGTCAGCCGATTACTACATTACTCTACCCCAATCAGGTACCCATCAGAGTTGGGTGGACTCAGGAACGCCTTACTGACTAATGAGTGGAACCCAGGCTATGATGGCTGATGCTGGGCATGGATGTAGAGTGATTTTTGTAGCAATTGACCACAGAACTCTGCTTCGTCTTTTCATTGACGGTCCAATTGATCAATACCAATCACTGAGCTTACTGAGCATATTGTCCAAGTAATTTGGTGATAATTTAGTTGCTGTGTGGACAGTGGCGTAGCGAGGGAGGGACGGGGGGACGGGGGGGGGGGGGGGGGGTACGGACCGCACCGGGTGACACCATTTAGGGGGGTGACACCAAGGCAAAAAATAGCAAAATTTATAGAGAAAAACTTGAAGGGTGGGGGGTGCAAAGGGCTGCAACCACACATCTCCAGCGGACTCGGTTTTGATCTGCTCCCCTAATCTGTGCCCATGTGTGCCCAGCTGTTTTCGCCTCTTCTTCAACCGTTCTTCTCCATGTCTTCCTTGGCCGGCCCACCCTCCTTTTTCCCTGGGGATTCCATTCCAAAGCATGTTTTGCGATGTTTTCTTTTTCTTTTCTTAATGTGTGTCCGATCCATCCCCATTTACGGGGAGAGAAAAATGATAATTCCACTTGATTAAGTGATTAATTCGAGTGTTAAAAAGTCTTTTAAGAGCAAATTTGACAAATCCCGACAAGAGTGGTGGTGGTGGTGGTGGGGGGGGGGGGGGGGGGTGCAAATCGAAAGTTGGAGGGGGGGGGGGTCGCAAATCGAAAATTGAAAGTTTGTCTCCGGGCGCTGGGAAGCGTCGCTACGCCTCTGGGGGGGGGGTGTGACACCATGAAGTGCCGCACCGGGTGACACCCGACCTCGCTACGCCACTGTGTGTGGATAATATTGCCCAGATGGCGAGGATTTTACTGATCAATCGCGCATGCGCCGACGAGGGCGTGGCCTACGTAAAGTAAATACCAAACATCTTGTTTAAACACCGAGACGCATGATATTGATCACCCCAGCAAAGTAGATACAAATTAAAAAATAATTTAAAAAAAAAATCACTTTAACTTATAACTATAATTATAAATCAAATAATGAGGTTTATCTTACGTCGTATAGATTCTACAGCAAGACGAGGCAGAAAGATCGCTAGCAGTTTAAAATGACCCAGAACAGAACTGCTAGCAGTTGGTCCACCATGCTTCAACACGGCGTCGCTCGAGGTTCGACAACTGTGCATCGGGTTTTCCCGTTCACATTACAGCACTTTTCAGTAGATTAACGGGTTAGCGTATTGATTAAGCGGATAAACACATCTGCATGCGGATTCGCTCATAAATAACGGATTATGAAAGGAAAAAAAATCACCGTACACATTACTTTTTAAAAATACATATCTAAATCGAAATAAGACTAATATAATTGTGAAGTTACATATTTTAAAAGTAGTACTTACCACTCCACACCTCTCTGATCTAGTAATGACGTTACGACATCGAACTAGCGAAACCCAAATTTTTTTTGTCATACCCTTAGTTTTGTTATCCGATAACAAAAGTAGGTAACTGATAAAAACACACACGTTGATGACCTAGATTTCCCCAACACACGACGCTCAAGCTGTGTTCCCGTAGGCTATATATTTCCTAGCAGTGACGTCACGCGGTATGACCTAACCTCCTCCCACCCCCCAGCACTTAGTTTTAACCAGTCGGGCCAAAGTTCAGCTGAAGAAACAAAATCGGCCTCACCCCCCCCCCCCCCACCCCCCTATTGAACCTACCTGGAACCAGCAGGTAAACTGGACCTGGTACTTGTAGAGAAGAAAAAAAACTTTTCTCTCTGCAAGCCGAACGCTCTATTCAAACAAACGTTACATTGTTCTACTTTTTTACCTTTAACCTTCAACCTATTTATTGCATTAAAAATATCCTATCAAACTGCATACAATGACCTGCATTTTTCTAAATTTTATAGAGAAATAATCAGTAAAAAAGTGATTATTTTTCTTCTCTCTACTAACCCAAACTCATTATAAACTAATTGTTTACGCACATGTTTAACAAAGCTAATATCAACTCACACCCTACATAACAATAATAGGTTAAACCCTATCTATAACCCTATCAATTAATGTGTGTAGATATCGACTAGTTTTTCACAGTTTCTACAACGCATCTCTTCAGAGGTCCTAGTGCCTGCCCTCCCCCCCCCCATCCTCCCCTTCCTCGGAATGTTTAATACCTCCCATCCCCCAAAATTTTCAAATGTCCGTCCCATCCCCTCGGATAAATATGTCTGAAAGAAACACCGCAAACTAAATCCCAAGAGTGTTTGTGTGTGGGTGGGGAGGGGAGGGAAACTGCATACGAACTAAAACTTTGCTGACAATGTATGTTGCGTGGAACAACTCCCATTATAGCACTGGTGACGTAGTTTTAATTTAACTTCCTCGTTTGTGGCACATGCGAGAAATAGTAAAGGATGAAAGCTATTTATAAACTTGCGGAACGTCGATGCAGAGCTTCTTTCAGACATCTCAAAGCCCCCCCCCCCCCATCCCCGGAGTACCTCCACCGTATATCGCCAGAGGCGTAGCGACCCTTCCCGGCGCCCGGGGACAAATTGTCGATTTGCACCCCCCCCCTTGAACTTTTGATTTGTTTTTCCAATCCATTTTGGCGCCCCCCCTAAGGTCGGCGCCCGGGGACATATGTTATCCCCCCCCACTCGCTACGCCTCTGTATACCGCTGCTAATACAATGTTAGAAAAACATAATGATAACACATTTGTCTAGTCAATACAGGGCCGGCGCTACCTATAAGGCAAACTAGGCGGTCGCCTAGGGCGCCATCCCTAGGGGGGCGCAAAAGTTTTAATCGCTATTATCGAAAACTACTTAATAATTAATATCTTTTATAAAGGAGTAGCGATCTATTTCGGCACCGAGGACGAACTATCAATTTTGCACCTCCACCCCAAAATTAGGTCTATATAAGTCTATATTTATTCGCGCTGGTGAAAATGCAACCCCTCCTCTCTAATTTGGAAAGGTCGGGGCGCTTTTTACCAGTCACTTTGACCGGGGTGTTCAAAGTATTGTCACTTGTTTGGTAAGTTTTGATGACTCGTTTGGGGGTCGGCGTGGTCGAGTCGGTAAAGCTCATGGTTGCTAAACCGAAAGTCTCGAGTTCGAACACTCGGGCAGTTGAGGCTCGTTAGCTGGGGACAGCCACTCTTTTAGGAGAGACAACTCCAAAATCAAACAACTGCTGCCTTGTAGTTTATTCTTGGTTGGACAAAGGCTATGGAAGCAAATCCAAAAAGAAAAGCAGGCTGAAATCGGAGTCAATGGCGCATAACCAGTTGACACGTAATCCTTAATTGTGATGGAAGCATGGTCGAGTCGGCAAAGCTCATGGTTGATAAATTCGAAAAAAAAGTATCGAGTTCAAACCCTCTGGTAGATAAGGCTCGATCCCTCCCAACACTAAAAATTAAGAACGTAGAAGAAGAAGAAGATGACTCGTTTAGATTTGGGAGTAACGGCGGAAGGCTGTTGCTGATATGGTTTCCAGGGTTTCTTGCAGGCATCTCTTCGGGGAGAAAAAGGTCTGGAGGATACACTAATGGTTTCGTAGGTATAAAATATGTAAGTGTTAAATTAGTGTCGTATTTTTTATTTGGCTGTTGTGTAGTTGAAGGTCTAGTGGAATAGTAGAGAAATGAGAATGCAGGTGATGAAGTATTGTAGTTCTGGAGTTCGGGAGTATCGATTCTTGTGGTATCGAATTATATTGACTGTTAAATTGTAGTAGTAGGTCCAGTAAAATCGTTGTTGATTGGGAGTATCGTTTGTAGAGCTTGGTGAAGTTAAACGAGTTGGTGTCATAGTTCTGGAGCATCGAGTCTAGTTATGTTTAGATATCGAAGTCTGATATGTGTTGTGAATGTAGTAGAGCATATCGAGTAGTCGAGTTCATCGTAAGTTAAATTATTTAAATTCAGGACGGAACACACTACAAAGAAAGGTAGGCGTTCTCTAGTTGAAAAATCTTAATTTTTTTAGGAATCTTTATTACCACTCTTAAAGTATTGATATTTATTAAATAGGATAGAATTTATAACAAACTGTAAACTTTTTTTTTTCAAATTATAGTTTTTTTTTTAATATTTAATCAGTAATACTAACCATGTCTGAAACAGTTACCCGTTTTTGATTTTTTGAAAGACGTCCCTTTATATTAGGGACCCAAAATTTTATATCTAGATTCTACGTTTTGTACTTCGTGCAAAATTATAAGCGTCATCAAAATTGAATAGAAGTATGTTATAATAAAGCTACCGGTTTTATACTTTCAAACAAAACCTACAGTTTAAGTATTTAATCGGTAAAATATATTGTTTTTGCAAGGCTACATAGATAAAGATACAAAATATTTGTTATAAATATTACGTTTTGAAATTTAAAGCGTTACCTTGTGTTTTTCAAACATGTATTAGTTACTATTAGTTAATTTAGCAATTCTTGTGAAAGTTATTTCCCTTGAATAAATTAAATTTTGTTATTTGAATATTTAAATGGGAGATAATTCGTTGCTTAACTTTACATTCAGTTCAAATTCCTGCACCTTACATATAAATACAACTTTAAGCTATTATTTGCTACTGTAAAAATTATATAGAGCTTAAGTTCTAAACAAAATAGTTTGGTAGTTTGTTTTAGCATTATCAAGTTGAAAAACAAATACATCAGTAGCCGTTGTAGATTGCAATACTTAATGTTAGTAGACATACAGTCTTAGTAGTAAATTAAACATCTAATTAATTGTCTTTTCATATTTTTCACCCTCTCCTAAAAGATTCATATATAACAAGTTATATATATATATATATATATATATATATATATATATATATATAACATTTATAGCCTTTTAATTTTCAAAAACAAAAAAATCGTTACATAATCACACAATATAGACATTTTACAATTATAACTAAGGACATTTAATTCCGTTTTGGAACTCACCTTGGGAGGATTGAAGAGAGTCCAACAATGCAAGAACTTTTTTTAGTTTTTTTTTCCAGACTTTTTCCCCCCGGGAGGGGGGGGGGGGGGGAAAGCACTTAAGATTTTTTAAGGGGGGTAGGGGGGCTATGTCGTAAAGTACAAACTACACTCGTGGACTTAGCAACAATTTCAATAAAATGTGATTACGCTTCCACACTGGAATTGAAGGAATGAGTACAGACTTTTGAGACGATGGAAGCACGTAAAATTTGATTTTGATGTCTACTTACAAACGTGTATGCCATTGATAATAAATTGATATGTCACTTCTAATGAATTGTTTTCTTATACATATGTTTTTGTAATATTTTTGTGAAAGCATTTTTATAAGTTTTGCCTAGGGCGCTAAATAACCTGGCGCCGGCACTGAGTCAATACTTCAGCATTAGTGAAATAATGAGAGTACGTTTAGGCCCTGGTTGATAAAATCTAAAGTGCTGATAGAACATTAATGGTTATCTAAATATCACTGGTGTAATATTCAGCTTTTGTATCAGAACGGTCATGTTACGTCACTGCTATATATATATATATATATATATATATATATATATATATATATATATATATATATATATATATATATATATATATATATATACATATATATACATATGCACAAATATGCAGTGGCGTAGCGAGGTCGGGTGTCACCCGGTGCGGCACTTAATGGTGTCACCCCCCCAGAGGCGTAGCGACTCTTCCCGGGGACAAACTTTCAATTTTCGATTTGCACCCTCCCTCGAACTTTCGATTTGCACCCCCTTCAAATCTTTTTCTATATATTATACTATTTTTTGCCTTGGTGTCACCCCCTAAATGGTGTCACCCGGTGCGATCCGCACCCCCCACCCCCTCGATACGCCTATGCATATATATATATATATATATATATATATATATATATATATATATATATATATATACCTTCAGAATGCCCAGGGACTTTACTCGTAATTATTCTTCTCGGGGATTCCAGAAGCATTGACGTCACTAGGTCGGGTGCCACTCAATGCGAGAACTCAGGGTCTCACACCTCTCCCTTTATTATTTTTTAAAATATTTACTCAGTAAAACATGGTTTTACAGTAAGTGTTATGATTTTTCGTCGTGGTTTCACCCCTAAAAGGTGCCATTCCCCCCACACCTTGTGACTAACACATCTGGCAAAAATTCCTACTTATTACCAAATATTTAAAGATACACATAAAAACAGACAACAACTAAGTTTTCGTTTATTATCACCGAGTTTAAAGTTGAGACAAATAAATTGTGTCATTTCTTACATTAGGGCTATCTGTAATCAAAATTGTGTGCAGGGGGGGGGTGGGGGGGTGGGGGCGACGACTTGATATTTTCGGGGGACGGGCTAAATTTTCCGGGGAGGAAGGGGGGGGGGGGGGTAAAAGTAAAGTTTCTATACAAATTCCATCTCGTTGAAGAAGAAACTCTCATTGTGAGTACTGGTTTTGCATTTAATACATAGTAGGGGAGGAGGGAAATTGTTATATTATATTGTGCAGTATTTGGTGGTGCATTAAAATGTTTTTTGTATTATACAAGATGTACATGATCCCTGATACTTATGTAAAGACAAGATTTTCTGGTCGCTACTCGTATTCTTTGTTAATTATAAGTGACGGATTCCTTACTGTTGTTCCTCGTTGTATTACAATGGCTAGGTTCAAGGTCGGGGATTGGTTTTGATGGTCAGCTCCAAGGTCAGGGAATATTTAAGGGAACCCGCTACACGGGCCCCGCTGTGTCAGTGAGGGTCTGTGCTTTTCTTCTCAGGCATCTCTCGGAGGGATCATGCAGGCACAGCAGTGTGAGAAGGGGGTCAGGTGGTTGTCGTCAAGTCCAAGAGAGGGCATTTGCCAGTCCATTCATTATGTTAACCCTCCCCCCAAGCTTACATTGACTGTACAACAAACACTAAGTCTATGATCACTATGGGTACAGATAAATACCACCCCCCCCCCCAAAAAAAAAAAATAAAAAAATTAACCTCAACCCAAAAAGAAGAGGAGGACATTATCACCATGTTGACTACAAATTGACCACAAACCTCAACTAATCCTAACCAACTCTATGGTTAGGGCTAGGGTTATAGAGGAGATTAGGTGTTAGGAACTATTCTGTGTGGAACAAGTTTATTGTACTCTCCCATGAGGGAAAAATGACAGGGGGTTAGTCTTAGGAAGAAACCAATCCAGACCTGATTACTACTGCATTATAAACATGTATTGAAAAAAAAATGATGAACAGAATCTATTTAATTTTTTTTTTAAACAAATTATTATCACAAACATTAAATCAATTTATTAGTATTAATTATGTACATAAAATTTTATTAATAATTATTTATACAAATGTACAAAAATAGATAATTTTGATAACTTGTGAGCTCTTGCCATTTCACATTCATCTGGGTCACAACAAGTTGTCTACATCAACTCATGCTTCATCCGTAGATACTAAATAATAAACAATTAAAAACTTGGATTAGAAAAAAATTTGATTAAAAACATTTTACACACACATTTTTACAGTCTAGTGAGCGTGTTCCAACAACAGGTATTGTGATAGATTAGAATAAATTAAAAGTTTCATGATTCAGACAGTAAAGATTCTTATACAAAAAAAAACCCCACTGTACATAGCTCTAAAATTCTTTAAAACTTCTGAAAAGCTCACAATAAAATTTCATTTATGTTGATTAAAAAATAGGTAAAATTTCTAGGCTTTTCTAGAAAAAGAAACTAACCTTGTAAATTGTAATTTTTTTTGAGCAAAGTTAAATTTTAAGCTAAAAAAACTAGACATTTCAGGTTTAGAGTATAAAGGTTTATTTAAAATACTAGTTTATTAGAGTATCCAATGAGCCTATGAAAGTGCAAAAAGAAGGAGGAAGTGGCACTGAGTGGGACACACGCTACAAAAGTCTCACCCAAATGTGACACACCAAGCGCTTGAGTGGAACCCCCAGGGAAAGGGGAAAAGAGGGCGCCCAAGACAGACCTGGAGGGCGGGTCTTCTAGAAGAACTGAAGCCAACAGGGATGTCTTGGAAGACAGCAAAATTAATAGCCGGGGATCGGATGAAATGGAAGGAAATGGTGGAGGACCTGTGTTCCATAAGGAACAGAGAGGACTAAGTCAAGAGTATCAAATATTCACAGTGTACCAAGCTTCTTTACACTGCGGATAGCCGTAGTTGTGAGCTTCACTACAATACTTTGCTTCACCACTGTGCTGCTAGCTTCACCACTGTTCTGCTAGCTTCACCACTGTTCTGCTAGCTTCACCACTGTGCAGCTAGCTTCACCATTGTGCTGCTAGCTTCACCACTGTGCTGCTAGCTTCACCACTGTACAGCTAGCTACATAAAGCACAAAACCTTACATGTTTGCGGCTGTTGATGGCTTGTTGTACCCACATCAGCTCCATCACCATTGTATTTTTCAGCTGACAGAGTTCATCCTTGTCCCCAGGGAGCTCATACTCGTCTGTATCAAACAAGAACAATATTAACATGGAAAGTGACCTTACATAATAAGAGAGCTCCCATCTCCTCAGTCCACTTTATCTCAGCAAAAAATATAAAAAATATAATGTATCCTTTCCCAAATTATGTCTTATTATTTGAAGAAATTATTTTTTAATAAAATTTTAAGAAATTACTTCTATCCATCAAATTACATCTGAAATTTTTTTTTACCTATGTCTAGTACCCCATCTCTGTCCTGGGAAAGGCCAACTTTTTCCACAATCAAGTTCTGATTTTCATGGTTTTCATCTGTTTCTCTTTCTGTAACAAAACATTTCTCTCATTATTTGAACCACGTAGTCAGTTTATGAAAGTAATTAAACATAAGTAATCGCTAATTTTAATTTAACAATGAATAAATTTAAAGTTTTCTACCAGAACATTCTGAAGCTGGATGACTGTTTATATTTTCAACTTCTTCATCTTGAACATCACTGGTGGCAAAATGCTTAGGTAAATCTCTTTCAGCAGACAATATAATATGATCTTTTTTAAGAAGTCCAGTTTCTTTCTCACTCTGAGCACCAGCCACTGTGGGTTCTGTGTATTCTGTCTGAACTTCTCTTGAGATGATTGAATGAACTGTTTGTTTATCTTTATTTCCATTTTCTGACAGGTCGCAAAGAGGGTGGGGAGTCTGTGACTCTTGGTGTGATTGATGAGTTGGGGCTACAAAACTGGCCACAGATCTTTGGAAGGATTTAGAATTGTGATCACATGAACTGTTCTTGAAATCTTTAGCTGGGTGTGCTGCACATCCTTTCTTCACCACTGGCAAAGATAAGGAATTTCTTGACCACACAACTTCCATTCCTTGACCATCAATATCTTTTGATATATTTTCATAAAGACTTCGTAACTCATTCAATTGCTTTCTGACACACTTTCCACGAATGATAGCCTGTGCAAGGCAAGATAATTAGTGAATTGTCAACATAGACTATAACTTAACAGATTTTTTTAAAAACAGAAAATGCAATAAGAAATCTGTAATGTTAAATTAAATTTCTTATTTTCCCCAGCCACCTTAAAAGCTTGTTAATGTCACATACTAACAAATCACATGTAGCCCACTGCTGCCTTCTACTACTAGAATCTAATTAGTAAACTAGATCTAGATCTAACTATTCTTAGTATTCTAACTATAAAAACAAAGTAGTTAGGCTAACTGTTAAAAGTTTAAAAGTAATAAAAGTTAAGTAAATTACAACCTAAATAAATTGTATGACTTAAAAACAACAAGTAATTATTCATTTTGGGTTTACAATAGAAAAACTATACTCACTTGCAATTTAATGATTATGCTAACAAATTTATCGTTTTGTGATTCCATAAATTCAAAAAATGATTCTTCGGCAGCCATTTGTAAGCGATGTTGTTGTTAAGAGGTCTAGATCTAGAAAAGTAAAACTGCTACTCAAAATAAAATGGGACAAAATGTTAACATGATTAATAGATTAACAATATATTTAAACAACTTACTTAGCTTTAAGCTCATTAAACCTATCATCATATTTTATGAAATGTTGTAATACAATTTATTTGGCTTAACTGAACAACACCTAATCATAATCGTATGAAACAATGAATAATTAATTAATTAGCTCGTGCCAAATAAACTATATTGATCTCTATTTTAAAAATTTTACAAAAATAAAAACATGGAATAAATTTTGCGAAAGAGTAAAAAATATGTGTGACATTGCTGTTTGAGTATTTTAGTTAAGTTAGTATTTTAGTTTAATGATAAGCCTCTAGTAAATATTAAATATAATTTTAGTAGATCTAGAATCTAGATGTATTCTAAATAATTTGTTTTGATTTTACCTTTCGTTAGACTCCGTAGTCTATATAATACTAGATCTATATTAGGCTTTTTGATGAGAATTACAGAATGATTTTTTTTATTAAAAATGTATCAATAATAGCTTGCACACTAGTAAACTAAGCCAATTTAGCATATTTTAACTTTCTGTGCAAAGTCATTATTACTGAAAAAAATTCCAAAGTCAGGTCAGCCTGTGGCACCCTCCACTGAACATAACAGAAGGAAAAAAAACTTGACCCGTGACCTTCATTAAAACAGAATTTGCTTTTGTTTTTTTTTCATTTTTAGTAAATATGTGCTTAATCTTACCCAATAAGTGATAAAAATTTGAAAATTAATTTTAATTACTGTTGTAAAGTGAGATAAACAGCTTAATAAACACGTGTTTTCTTGAGGGGGTGTGGCACATCCCGACATCGCATTGTTTGTAACTTTATATTTGTGTTTTATGACTATATTTGTTCACAATCAGCATGCTATGCTTTTAATTTTGATAAAGGGTAAGTATACCAAGTTACAAAACCTGAAATCTAACTAATAATTCATACTTTCAGTTTAAAAACATAATGAAAACGATCATCAATGAAGAAAGCGTAAACATTCTATTTTTAGGTGTGACATAAAAAACAGTCATAAATCTAGCCGAATGATTGGATTCTTGCGCGTCACACATTTTCCCGCACTTCGTGTTCACCAAAAAAGATTATAATAAAATGGCATTATTATTCTTACAGAGCATATCTCATGCCTACCATAAATTATTACCAGTTTATTGTAACGTGTGTAAAATTAATGCTTTCAAGTAAAAAATAGCAATAGTCTGGTTAAAAATACCTGCGGTATTTTATAGTTATTTGATTCGAAAGATAAGAATTATATAGAGCTACTTTCACTAAGGCGCCGCTTGCGAGACAAACATAGAAATTAGGCCAAAAGTAGATCCGACAATTCTTAAATAACAGACTTAAATAGAAACGGATAGTTCCGATTTCTTAAATTAACGATGGCTTCGTAATCATTAGTTTTATCGCTCTACCCATTAGTGAAAGCGAAACTGGTCGCCATTTTTGGTAAGCGCATGAGCCGTGAGATGGCTTCAAAACAACAAACCCGGAAGCTGTGAATTCGAACGGCCTATCTATATAGATCTATTTATTTTTATAGTAGTATCGACTACACTACACACTTACACTACTGACTACTGACTACACACTAGTCACTAGAGTTGACTAGAGTCACTAGAGATCTACAGTCTACACTCTACAGTCTACACACTACACTCTACAGTCTACACTCAGTAGCCTACTGAAGAAGTTTGATGACACTAGTTTTACTCTTTACTTTAATAAGTGACTTTAATTTATTATTAGTATTATAATTATTAGGCCTAAATTCTAGATTCTATTACTTTATTTGTTGCATTTTAAAAACACTTTAGTGCTTTAGGCCTATTTGAGAAATGGTTGTATATTACTTATTACTTAATCTTAGTCCTTATAGGTGTGACATTTTTTAGGGGTGAGGACTTAGCTTTTTGTGATCCTGATGGGTGTCAGTGGGACTCAATCAGGGGTGATGTGGGGGGGGGGGGGGGGGGGGGGTGGGCTGTAAAAAATATAAAAAAAGCGTACTAGATTCTATCATTTAGGCCTATTATTAGGCGATTATTTAGTATTTATGGATGAGCCCTTAACATAGCCTATACAATTTGAAAAAGATATCTATAATTTTATAATAAAATTAGACCTACAATACAATTTTAAATTTAGAGGTGCCAAAATTTTATACTACACTAACAGTTGAATTAAAGTATAGATTTACCTAGATAATGTCTCCTTCTAAACTGTAGTTATAATACCTACATATTTCTTCAAACAGATTTGAAACCTCAAGCAAAACAGTATCATTGAATATGGCCTCGCTGTTCAAGTCTAGTTTTCACAACAATTTAACCTTGTTCTGTGTATCTAGATGCCAACAACACATATTTGATTTCCAAAAGTTGTTACCCCGGTGTACAAAAAAACAGTTTATACACACATGTACGGGCACACATAGTCCAGAGGAATACCCACAGACGGCAGGCATTGAGAAATCATTGTGTTCATCATTAGGTTTAAAAGTTAAATACGTTTGTGGACATTGTAAAACAATGCACAGTGGTTTTTCTGATGATAAAACCTTTGTATTCAGTTCTTCAAGAATTGATGATGGTCTGCGGAAAATAAGCCACAAATCATTGTCTAGTCTGAGAGGCTTTTTGGATTTTCATAAAAGTTGTAATTACCTCCAGAAACAGTCTATTGTGGGAAATTTTTTTATTAGATCCTACAGGGGTCAGCATAGACTGAGCACTGTTGAAAGTACTGACAGGGCAGGTAAAGGCCTTGAATTTGCTGCTCATGATAATATGAGTGAAGAAAAAGATGTATCTTACAATATGTCAGTGCCAGCTTGGTCAGATGTCAAGGAAGAAGACTTTGCTAAAATCTTTCAAGAAGAAGGAGTGTATGGATTGCAACATGATCCAAATGACAAAGGTAAGGGTTTATTATTTAATGAGTAATAACAATAATATACAGTGTAATTTCAGCACTGCAACTAAAAACATCTATGCAGAAATAATGACAATATGAATATGTTCACTGGGAATATGAGATCTCAGTTTATTTATTTTAGACATCACACAAAATAAAATTAAGATCTAAATGTAAAGATCCCCATTCAGACCAAAAGACCATAGTGCATACGACTTTGGCATATGAAGGGATAATGTAGTCAGTGCTATGCCCAGCCACCTTTACTTTACTAACTTGATTCAGGTACCCATCAGAGCTGGGTGGACTACAGCCATCATCATGAGTCTGGGCTAAGATCTGAACTCCAGACATTCAGAATAGCAATCAATGCTCTACCACTCAGCCCATAAGATCTAAATGAGATTCCATTTTTCTATAAACTAATTATATAATTTTGTTTTTTGCAGATCGTTTTTGTTATACCTGTGTTTTAGTTTCTTACTAGTTTTTTTTTTAATGTTAAAAGCTAACTATATTAACCATTTTTGTTTGGTCTAAAAGTGAGTACATATTTATTCCAGCAGTTGTAAAGAAAGTTTCTGTTGATGATTTAAGCTTACCAGAGCTGTCTCGGTCAGCTTTCAACATTGTGCCTTATGTAGCCAGATCTAAGACTTTGCAAAATCTGGTCAAGATTGGGGTCAATTTGGACAAAGTTCAAAAGGTGAACTTGCAATGTAGTCATTTAATTTGTTGTTGATTAGCCATATTTATATTAGAATATTAATTCTGTTCCTAAACTATGGGTCAGTCTTTGTTGTTGAACTAACTTTATCTGCTTGCTTACAGTACAAATATTTGATTATGGTAATGAACAAGATTTTTTAACTGTTAAAACATAATTTATTCTTTTTCTTTCAACAGCACAAACGCATTGCAGAGCTTTTGATAAAAGCTAACTTTGACAAAGATATTTTGCCTATGTTGAGGTTTCTGGCGTTTATGGGTATCCCAAAAGAGTCAATGGGCGATGTTTTCACCAAAAACCCCTTGCTGTTTAAGGAGAATGTTTCTGACTTGGAGCTCAGAGTTGGGTGGGTGATATAGGCTCTACTTCCTTTTGTTTACATGTTGTGTTAAGTAAGAGCTAGAGGTTTTCGCAGCTGAGTATGTTGATGGTGGGTATCTCAATAATTACATAGTGGATTTGTGTCTGCCTATGCTGATACTCTCACTTGCTATGTTGATTTTGCGACTAGTTTTGATGATAAGCCCTAAGTTGAGTCATTGTGAGTTGTGACTGGTTATGAATATGTTAATTCTATGCCTGGCTATGCTGACGAGTAGTTTAACCATTGAAATCTGTTGTGTTGATAAGTGAGCAGTTCACACTAACCTTGTAAGGAATATCATAATCATCTGACTTTTGTTTTTATTTTATTTTAGTATTTCTTTTGCATAATTTCCATACAGATGAATTAATATATTGCAACCAGAATTTTCAACTTTACCTTTCTTTTGTCTAGGTACTTAATTCACAAGAAATTCAAATTGGAGGAAGTGGTCAAAATGGTGGTCCACTGCCCTATTCTATTATTGATGAATTCCTATAGGATGGATGAGAAGTTTGCGTTTTTACAAAATGCATTTCAACTAACTGGTATTTATAGGTTTTCTTCATTTAAAAAAAATAGTAAACATACCATAAAGAAAATAAAATTAGCATGCTTGAAATAATTACTTTATATGATAATTTTATGCTAATTTATTTTTATGTAGTGATAAAAATCAACTGATTGTAGACATAAAATGTTATTATTTTTATTGAAATTAAATTAGAAAAAGAACTTACAAAAATGTTTTGTTAAAAATACAGTGTTGCCAACATTGTCTGCTGGCTTGATTTGAGCAAAATATTTGTTCCCTTTTTTTAGATGCTGAACTTCGAAAAGTCTCCATTGATTTCCCCAAGATTTTAGTTTGGAGGAAAGAATTAATTGCTGTAAGAATTACGTTTGTATTTTTAAATTTATGTTGTAAAAGCTATAGCCTACATGTTAATCTAAGTTCTAAGTTTCTTCTTAACTCAGCTTAGTAGTTTACATTTAGGATTGTAGACTCCTATTGAAATTCTAAATAATTTTTTAAGTTACAATAAAAATCAATTCACAACTTGTTATTTAAGTGGGATATCTTAACCTTGTCAATTGGCAATTACCTATAAAATATATGAACAATAAAGACTGAGGTAAACACCCACAAAATATGTCAACAATCAATATTAAAATAGGATGAATTTTTTTTATCTATGAGTTTTAATAAAATCTATTTTTTTTTTCAAAATATTTAAAAAAAAAAAAATTCTTTCTGTCTTAGGATGTACGGTTTCACATAAAAGAATTCCTTGGGTTCACGGATTATGAGCTTAAGCAAATTTTATTGACCTGCCCCAGGTTATATTTATCTGGTAAGTAGCCAATGTAAGCAGTGTGTGGGGCGTGGGGGTTGGTGAGTGTGTGGTCAGAACAGTAAGGGTGTGATGACAGGGAAGATGGTAGAAACAGACTATAGCTTAGTTATAGAACATCTTGAATTGGACTTGTGTGATGGATCGCTTCATTATTCACCCCCACTCTCACAAAGGGTGTGGTTGGGTTTTACTCTGATTGAATCATACAGCCAATGGGGGTAGAAAGTCAGTATCTGGGTTTGAGTACTTGTTATTATAGGATGTCATGTGAGCAAGCTCAGTTTTATTAGGTACTCTGCAGTAGTTCGTGAAATGTAAAGGTGCTGTGACATGGTTTTTTACATCACAATATGTGTATGTGTATATATTTGCTATGTCCATATACAGCCACAAGATCCTGAGGCATACTAATCAACATCAAACATCTTTTTTTCACAAAAATAAACCATTTTGAAATTATAAATGTAGATGCAGACTGTTTTAGACAAAAAAATATTTAAAAAATGTTCATTTGGTATTTAAATAAGGAAATATATGTTGTTTGATTAACAAACAGCTGTATGAAGTATTCCATGTTCCCAGATAAAAATCAGCTGTTCAAGACCTTCGACTACCTCCACAACACCATGCAGATATCACACCGGCAGCTGCTGATGTGGCCAGATATTCTGGACACCCGGTTGTTCATCATCAAAAACCGCCACCTGTTCCTGGTGTCACTGAACCGCGACCAGTACAACCCGCGGCTAGAGAACTTTGTCCCGCTGGCAGTCCTCGGCAGTTTGCCAGACGAAGAGTTTTGTAGGAAGTGGGCCAAGAGCACTGTCGAGGAGTTCTATAACTTTTGTAAGACAATTTAATGGAGGTAGTTCAACATGATTTTTGTAAGACTATTCTGCCTCTGAATGACCAGCTGAATTAAAAAATATAATGCTTGGTCTGGTAAAATAAATGGTTAAAAATATCTGCTTTTAAAATATTCAGGAACTTGAACTAATACAAGATACAGGCATTTCTCATACTCAGCTAAAGTTTTTACATTTACAGCCTAGACATGTGGCCTTTTTAATTATTAATCGTTTTAAAATAAATATAAAAAATAAATATAAATCAAGCTGCTATACTTAACAAAAACACCATAAAAATAAATGTTGTGCAATTTTTGCCTCCCCTGTTCAACTCAAGTTTTCTACAAATAATGAATTGATAATTAAATAACTGTATATTGGTCCCAACAACCACATCTGGCCTGTAATCTACACGTTGTAGATGCCTGCTTTATTATTTTTTATATGGATCTTTTCTTTTACTGAAATTGCTTTTTTTTTTAACTTTAATTTTACCTTTGATTTATTATGTAAGTGAAAAAAAAACTATTAAAAAGGGGAAGTAACATTGTGTTTGGCTTTTTTAAAAATTTAATTAGTTTTTAATTTTAATTAATTAACATAAGCTGGTATAGTGTGAAATTTTTAAAGTTAAAAAAATTGCTTGCAATCTTCAATATGTGATGGGCTGAAGTAGTTATGTGTGTAGTGTAAGCCCCCATGATACACGTATCATCCTATGAGAGGGGTTTTTTGAATGACAAGCCCTGGCTCATTGAATGCAATGATTTAGTGGTTTTGTTTAACATTTAGCTGGCTCTACCCTCTGAGTAGTTATCGAAATACAGTCACAAGCTTGTCACTGGTTAGACGGCCACAAGCTGGTCACTGGTTGGACGGCCACAAGCTGGTCACCGGTTGGACGGCCACAAGCTGGTCACCAGTTAGACGGCCACAATCTGGTTGCACGTTGCCATTTATTTAACTTGGACGGCCTCAGACTCTCATGTTAATAAAATTTTAGACGGCTTCTGAAACTTGATAGACGGTTGGTTGGACGGCGACATGCTAGTCGACAGTTCGGGAGTAAAGACTCAACGCCATTTGGACGGCCTCAGCCTGGTCTGGATATTAGACGGACCGGTTCCGCCACGTCACGTGACTTCACGAGACGGCTTTGTTCAACTTTGAATATTCCTATAGTCATCAAAACTTCATGCCTGATCAACCATTCAGACATGAATCACAAACAGACTCGAACCACAAACTGTGAACACCATACAAGGTCATGATTCATTCCCCACCTGGGCATACTACGCTGAAAACAAACCCCGCAAAGGAACGGATAAATAATTATAATCTAATTCTCTATTGAAATTTGATAAAGCACATTGTAACCGAAAACTGCACAATGAAAAACTGCGCTAGTGAATTTAAATTGATCATTAAATACTATTAAAGAGGTCAGCGAAGAATGACCACATTAACATTGTAGCTTAGAGACATGACAATGTGAAAGTGTATTAGTAGAATTAGTTTGTAGTTGCGCATTTTCCATGTTGAAGGGTATATGATGTAATTTAATGCCTATCTACAACTTGGGGCTCTGTTTACAACTTGGGGCTCTGTATAGGGCTGTGTCTACAACTTGGGGCCCTGTCTGGGGTTCTGTCTACAACTTGGGGCTCTGGCTACAACTTGGGGCTGTCTACAACTTGGGGCTCTGTCTACAACTAGGGGCTCTGTCTACAACTTGGGGCTCTGTCTACAACTTGGGGCTCTGTCTACAACTTGGGGCTCTGTCTACAACTAGGGGCTCTGTCTGGGGCTCTGTCTACAACTTGGGGCTCTGTCTACAACTTGGGGCTCTGTCTACAACTTGGGGCTCTGTCCGGGGCTCTGTCTACATTTTGGTGCTCTGTCTACAACCTGGGGCTCTGTCTACAACTTGGGGCTCTGTCCGGGGCTCTGTCTACATTTTGGTGCTCTGTCTACAAACTGGGGCTCTGTCTACAACTTGAGGCTCTGTCTACAACTTTGGGCTAAGTCTACAACTTGGGGCTCTGTCTACAACTTGGGGCTCTGTCTACAACTTGAGGCTCTGTCTACAACTTTGGGCTAAGTCTACAACTTGGGGCTCTAAGACTGCACCGGCTCACACTCAAGGTCACGGGATGTTTCTAGAACAATCGCCGGCTAAAGTACACCAGGTTCATCTCAGCTACCCTCGACTGGGATTAATAATCGTTTCCCGTTGTCATGACAACGCAGGCAACCATTGTCCCCCTGACACGATACACCATGACGTCACACGAAACCATACACGTCCCCTGAGCCGTGACTAGCAGGTCGGGGGGGGGGGGGGGAAGGTGTGTCGGGGGTTGTCACCAAAGTTCAGCCGTGTGATCGTGGTTTGTGAACCTTGGTATTGAAAAAGAATGCATCGATTAAGTGTTCGATTATAAATCGTTTATGCTAAAGATGGCGTGAAGCGTACACTGTTAGTAGGGTTTGGGTGCGGCGGGGGTGGGGGAAGGGGGGGGGAGCTTGATGAGAATTATCGATTATAGTCAGATTAGTTTAATTTTTTTTCCTAAAGTAGGAAATATTATATTTTTGTGATTGCTTCAGCTTGCGAACAACCAAGGCTACATATGTTCGGGTTACGAACAGTTTCATTGAAAAATTACTTAGATTATAAGGGAAGAAGTTAAAGCCGGCGAGGCATAGAGATTATTGAAACAGATGAACTCTACTTCATCTGCCTCGCGTATCTTAGGCACGAAAGGAAAAGATTATTAATTTTCTATCTAAATATATAATATTTTTTTTTATTTTACCCGGGATGGGGTAGGGAGATTTGGATATGCTCCTGGGGTCAATGTCCCTACACCGGAGCTATGCCTGAAAGAAACACAAAGTTAGCGTCAACCTTAACGCTAATTAGCCTAATTTATCCACGTTGAAAATGTTGCTTTGCCAGACAATGAGTTACGACGAGCAATGGCCGTCTGGCACCCTGTAACGGAAAAGAAACAAAATAATGTATTTAGATGACAGAAGGTGTGAGCTGTGTTGTAGACAGCAGAACGGCACCACAGAAAACATTTCCTGCTGTCGCCAGGGTTTGACCTGCCAAACGGGTGCGAATCAATTTCTGTCAAATACTAGCCAACCCGGCACAACCATGAAGAGGCAGTCTATTTTTAGATACGTTGTGCTTTCGGGCTGTTTAAAAAAAAAGATGATTTATGATGGATTTATGGGCCCTAAGGGATCTGTATTTTCGGTGTGGTATCGGGTCATGTCGTGGGGGTTCAATGATCACGTGATGTGTGGTTATGTCACATAGGGTCACAGTCACGTGATGTAGGGTGATGCACTGTAGGTTCACTTGTCACTTGATTAGGGGGTCGTATTTTAGAGGTTTGTTTATCGTGTGTTGTAGGATCATAGTCATACAGGCCTATGTACAATATTATGGTAGATGACCTCCCATATATCACAGTGTACAACATTAGTTGACCTTCCATACAGCCCAGTATACAACATTAGTTGACCTCCCATACGTACAACATTAGTTGACCTTCCATACAGCCCAGTATACAACATTAGTTGACCTTCCATACAGCTCAGTATACAACATTAGTTGACCTCCCTACAGCCCGGTATACAACATTAATTGACCTTCCATACAGCCCAGTATACAACATTAGTTGACCTCCCATACGTACAACATTAGTTGACCTTCCATACAGCCCAGTATACAACATTAGTTGACCTTCCATATAGCCCAGTATACAACATTAGTTGACCTTTGACCTCCCTACAGCCCAGTATACAACATTAATTGACCTTCCATACACCCCAGTATACAACATTAGTTGACCCCCATACGTACAACATTAGTTGGAATAGTTGACCTTCCATACAACCCAATGTACAACATTATGGAGGTTGATCAAGCGTGACAGATGAACATCGAAACGACTTGGGTTCTTGTCGTATCGCTCGATACAGACGGCACTAAAGAACGCATTAACCTGCGTAGCGTGTATTATGGTCAGACAAACTGCTGTTCTGTACATGTCGAGGACAGGTCAATGGGTTAGGTCACGTGTCTGTCAGATTGTCAGTCCGTCAGGTTAGTTCTTCTTTGGGTCAAATTGTGTCAGTCAAGCAGCCATTCTTCTTTGGTAAAATTTTCTGACTCGCGATAGAACGCTAGTCTGTCTTTCTGTCCGTCCGTCCGTGTCTGTCTGTCTGTCTGTCTGTCTGTCTGTCTGTCTATCTGTCTGCCTGTCTGTCTGCCTGTCTGCCTGTCTGCCTGTCTGCCTGTCTGCCTGTCTGCCTGTCTGCCTGCCTGTCTGTCTGTCTGTCTGTCTGTCTGTCTGTGTGTCTGTGTGTCTGTGTGTCTGTGTGTCTGTGTGTCTGTGTGTCTGTCTCTCTCTGTCTCTCTCTCTCTCTCTCTCTCTCTCTCTCTGTTAAATTTCATCGTGTTAAATGAAAGTGAAACAAAACGTTTGAGAAGATTCTAAGGATTTGAACTCTTGTCTTCCTATTATAACTCATCAGCTGTACCACTTAGACCACTCACACTACAAGGCTGTGAAAAAAAATCATTATTTATCACACATAGCAAAAAGTAAAAATCACTATTGCAACCGGCGAAACGTTAAAAAACTTCATTTAAAAACCGATTAATCTTTTTTTAATCGTCTTCTTGACCTGGAGAGTTCTAAATGTAGCGCGCGACTGACGTTTGCCACTAGACGAACGAGCGATCGCGCGCAGATTTCAATGGAACTTTATTTTCAAAGGCTCGAGTAAAAAGCCGCTTACGTCATTTAAAACAACACCCGGCGTCTTTAGAAAAGATTGTGATTGGATTAAAAAAACAGACGTTTTTTGTACTGTTGAGTTGAGTTGACTATTCCCTTTAGAGTTAAGCGCGTGAGATGAAATAAACGTCAAGTTAAAATTGAACGTAATCAACTTGATGTTTGATACGGGTTAGAGTTCATTTTGAAGTCATTTTACTTTTTAAAAATCTTTATTTTTACCTTATTACGACACTTTTTTTTTAAATAGTACAGTGCCCCTCGAATGGGGTGGGGTTTGGGGGGGGTGGGGGGGGGGGGGGTGGGGTGGTGGTGGTAGGGAACACCCTAATAGAAAAAAACGTACAAACAAAATGTAAAGAGAAAACGGTGTAGCTAGATAGGGCTCGAACCCGCAACTCACAACTGCTGAGAAGAGCGTCTTATCGATTTGACCAACCGTCGGTCATCAAAACTACCGTCAAACTGTGTTCCAAAAACTCAAGAATAAAAGGTAGCCCGTTATAAATTTGCCTACATAACAAACAACAATTACGCAGTAGCGTAGCGAGGGGGGGGGGGGGTGGGGACATATGTCCCCGGGCGCCGACCCCTGGGGGGCGCCAAAATGGGTTGGAAAAATAAATTGAAAGGTTGAGGGGGGTGCAAATCGAAAGTTTGAGGGGGGGGGGTGCAAATCGAAATC